GTTTTAAGCTCCATTGATTGAACTCTGCTTTGACCCAAAGAACCCAGGGCTAAATAGGGTTCTTAGTGGGATAGGCTTCCCTGAAGAGATGAGTCTTAAGGATCGCCTAAAGGCAGTCAGAGTGGGAGCTAGACGGACAGGTCTTATTCTTATGTTTTGCTGTTGAATTATTAGTCCCTTTTCTGTTGGAATATCTTTTCTGTATATTTTTCTGCACCATTTTCCTTTTCCTGTTAATCTTTATCTCTATGCGCTAAATAAGAATTGAAAGAATCCTTGTTTCTATGAAGGGAAGGAGGGTCAGAGAGTATCACAGGCAATGCTTAAGGTCGTAACTGTCACAGCATTTGCTGGGAACGATGTTTGTGTATGTGAAGGGTTAGCCGAGGAGTTAACCAACCCCAGTGACGATTGCTCTGTCTGCTGGTCTTACTTTGTTGTCTTGCAAGATGGAAAATCTCTGACAGGGGAAGGCTGAGAGTGTCCTTGTCAGATTGTCCTGCCACTGGAACCCTACATTTTGGACCCATAAAGTAAGCGGCGAACTGGGTACTCGAGTAGGGACAAGCCCCCCACTAACTACCCCCAGAGCGGCAGCTGACTTGGCAGTGCAGTCACCTAAACTGTGCCACTAAACTCAGGAGTTAAATCTTAAAAATCCATTCAAGTACCTTAAGTATTAACAATACTGGACCTTATTTGTGTATCACTTGAATGTAGATCCTCAAATCATCTCTGAATTGGTGCTATGTGACACTGTCCTTCCTTCTGGAGTCTGGCTACTTTTGTTCCCCATGGTCCCTGTGTGTGTTGTAAAGTAGCCCCTGCTCTAAGACCACTCCAGTGATGGACTACAATCTCAATATAAATGAGTAAACTAAACGTGAGTTTCTAGTCCACCACGGGAGCAAGCTTGGAGTTGTGACTACTTTACAACACACACAGGGACATGGAGAACAAAAGTAGCCAGACTCCAGAAGGAAAAACCGTGTCAGCATGAATTCAGAGATGATTTGAGGATCTACAGCCGAGTGATACACAAATAAGATACATTTTTGTTCATAGTTAAGGTACTTGAATGCATTTTTAAGATTAAACTCCTAAGTTTCATGTCACTTTAAAAGGAACATTCCACATCCAGTCCTTTACCCTCTCAATGGGCCTATGCCCCGATAGTGGGTCTTTAGGCACAGGGCCCCACCACAATTGACCACGGCTTTATACCTGTAAAACACATTGTGGCAACTACATACGCTGCACAAAGTGCCGAAGAGAGTGGCCCCTGCAGGCTCCAAATTAAAGCCCAGCCCCATAGCTTCCTTCCGACAGGGTACAGTCTGTCAAGGCTCTGCTGAGGAGAAAACCAATTTGTATAGCTGCTGTTAGGTGCCACAGTGGCTGGGAGCAGTAGTAGGAAAAACTTGCTAGAAGAATCTTCAGTAGCAGAGAAGAGTGTGCTTCTTTAGAGCAGAGAGAAAGTGTCCATCACCTTTGGATATTACAGGCAGGCTGGTAGTGGGAGGGGTTCTATGGGGCTGTCTAAAGGTGCCCATACACTGCACGATTCTCGTACGATCGTGCAGTGTATGGAAGGCGTGAGACCGTTTCTACTGTACGGTCGCACGTCTTCCGCCGAACCAGCAGGCTAGAAAACCCGCCGGGAATCGTACGATTCTCAGCGAGTTAGTGGCCTGCTGGTTCGACAACTGCCGAACGGGCCGGTGTGCGCACGCGCACACAGCCCGTTTGCAGTCATCGTAAGCCCGCCCCTCATTGCAGTCATCGTAAGCCCGCCCCTCATTGCAGTCATCTTAAGCCCGCCCCTTAGGGGGGCGGGCTTGCGATGATCGCAAGTACGATCTGCCTGTCCAAGATGGGCAGATCGTACGTTTTTTTAAGTACTTTACAACCCTCGCAAGACAAAAGTCTTGCGAGGGTTGTAAAGTGTATGGGCACCTTTAGAGCTTTGATAGATTTGTCAGTGTCCAGTCACCTAAAGTATTAACTCCCTGTGTCCTGTGATATACAATCAAGAATTGAAAAGCTGCATATCTTCACTACATTTTGTGTCTATTATAACCCTTCTTCATATATCGTATGACATATATTCCTTTTGATCAAAATGTCAACTTGTGTAAAATTAGCATGAAAAGCAAAAAAGGAGAACATAAAAAAAAAAAAAAGTACAAATAAATACTTTACTAGGCAAACTCACAGTTCTATTCATTCTTAATTGGACTATAGCATTATCCAAGTAAAAGTTCCCAATAAAAATCAATATATTACAGAAAATGAAACACTATAATACAAAGTCATATTTCATATGCTGTACCGTTTTCTCCATACAACATAGCACATACAGTATACAGATTCTATGTAGGTATACAGTCTAAAAATAACAAATTACCAAGAATATGTTGTGGGAGGGGGGTTTCCAAAATAATATTTAGAAATGTAACTTTATGTGGCATTAGCATAGAAATATCCTCAGTGAGATATTATTAGCATTCAGGATTTATATAGCGGTGGCAATTTGCGCAGCGCTTTACAATATAAGGAAGACATTACAATCACAATACATTTCAAGACAAGATGGTAAGGAGGGCCCTGCCCCTGAGGGCTTACAATCTAAAAGGGAGGGGAAAGTGATACATGAGGAGGTAGCTGTGTGGGGATGAATTATTTGAGAATCTGATGGTTGAGTGGTTAGGTTGAGGTGGCATCGTCTTTAGGGATTGCCTAAAGGCAAAAGCAGTAAAATTTTAATTTACATATATGCTGCAGTCTGTCTAGCATTTACACAGACGTTTTCCCAAGTCCCCAATGCATCAAACTTTAATTACCTGTTGATCTTGCCAGTAGATATTTCCACCACCTTTGCCATGGTTGGCTATGCAGTGAAATCACTCTTCTGCAGTAAAAAGCTTTCCTGCCAGTATAATTCTTTTTTTTTTAGGGATGCACCGACACCAGGTACAGTACTCGGTACAAGTACATGTACAGATACTTTTCCAGCTCCAAGGCTAGACTAGAGAAAAATGTAACAGTTAGGATGCAGCTGTCATTTGTAAGGAGCACACGGAGCTCCTGGGATTCGTACATCTCTGTTTTAATGTATGATTTTGTTATTTTAAATATAAATAAAGGGATGTACGATACCAGTTTTGCGAGTACAAGTACTCACAGATACCCTTACTGATACATTTTTGTTTATTGTCATGTGACAGTTTTTCTAAAACAATACAGACTAATGATTTCAGGACAGTGGTGGAGCGCCAGAGTCAGGTCCCAGCTGCAACCCCGGTAGTTCTCATGAAAATGCCAAATATCGGCACTGGTATCTGAAAAGTATCTGTGCATCACTATTTTTTTTCAAGTAAGAAACAAATTAAAGACCAACTCCAATTAAACTAATAATAAACCACTAAACTTTTTTTTTCAATAATGAATCCAGATCAAACAAATATACATTGCCCAACTATCTCGGATCTGCTTCCCTGAACTTCCTGTCTAATACAAGATCACAAGGGACAGCACAGTCTTCAGCAATTGTTTATTTACTAGCTTAGAGAAGGGAGGAAGGAGGAGCTGGGAAGTGGCTTGCCTTGCTGTGCCCATGTGTTTGTAGAGACAAACAGCTTACTAACACACACACAAAGGTGGCTCCATTGGACACTGCAAGGGAAAGAAGTCATCCTAAAATAGGATATCAGGGTCAGTGCTCATGGAGCCAGATGAATCTGCAGGAAGCTAAAACTTTTGAACATCAAGGAGCAGCATTCATTGTAAATGATTTCATCAACATTTGAAATAGCTTAAACCCTTTGACTTTATTGTCACTTTAATATTCTTTAAGCAGTAACAGCAATAGTTTTTCATTTTTGGAAAAAAGGTTTAAACTGTAAAAAAAAGTAAGTCTGTGAAGGTTCTCATTCATCCAGGTCATGGTGTATCTGTAAAAACGAAGTCAAGGCAACTGGACTTGCTGTATTTTTCTTGAAGACGTTTCACTGGTCATCCAACCAGCTTTCTCAATTCTGAATGACTTTTTTCCCAATTTTTTTGTACAAGTCATTCAGAATTGTGAAGCTGGTTGGATGACCAGTGAAACATCTTCAAGAAAAATACAGCAAGTCCAGTTGCCTTGACTTATTTTTTTACAGATGTAAAAAAGTAAGCATGCCCAACAGTGTTATATGGTTTGTGCCAATTTCTGTAACCTTTAGTTTTGCCTGACGGCTTGGTCTGAATGTTAAATGGCGAGAAAAATATATATTATGTCAGGGAGAAACTTTGAAAGTTGCCATTGCTGAGGCAATCAGAAGGCCAGAGGTCACTTGAATTCTGGCAGTTGCTGTCCTGTTAACTTCTTCACCTCAGTCAGTTAAAAGTCAGCAACTATCAGGCTTGAGGTGACTTCTGACCCCTTGACACTCCAGATAAAATGCCAAGCCCAGACAATATTAATAACGTGGAACTATAAGACAACACAGTTATAAAATTAAAAAAAAAATTATTTTATCTTCCAAAATCCATCACTTCCACTTTCTAAAAAACACCTGAATTTTGAGACTCTGGTCTTGTAGAGATCTCTATTACTATTTCTTGTAAAAGCCACACTTACACAAGATGCCCACATTTCACAGGTTGGGCCCTCATTCTGGATAAACAAAACTGATTCGGCTGTCGTCAGATAAGATAGAAAAAAAGGTGGGTGGCCCATTAAGCCCATGTATAGGCAGATTTATTTTTTCTAAGCAAATGGTAACAACATTGGAATGAAAATTTTGCAGTTGGTTACGATGCGGCTCCATGGGTGCGGCCCCCCAAGCCCATCACTGCACTCACTTACTGTACACTTTCTTCATATTCTCCATTTGAATATTCAAGAAATCTCACTTACACAAATAAGGCTTCCAAGTATAAAACTCTGTATGTACATTGTCTGACTAAGGAATACGTATGAATGTATACGCACTTTGACATACACGATTCTGTACAAAAGTATCTTAAAGTCTGTTTTCCCTTACACAGGATCTTCAGATAGATCAAGAGACTGTACTTTGAATTTTAGCCTCCTGAACTTTTGTTGGGTGATCTTCAGTCTCCTTTTCACATTGTGAAGGGTGCTTAAAGCTTCATCGAGCCGTTTTTTCAGAGCCTTTGGGCTGTCCATAATACAATAGTCGTGCTCCAATGTAACCCGTTTTTCAACCACGTTTTGTGTGGCTATCTGTTCTGGGACTGAGGTAGGTGGGAAAGAAAACTGCTCATAGCAATCCTCAAACACTGGAGCTGGGTTCTGTGTCTTTCTATCCTGCAAGTAATAAGAAAATAAATATTAAAGTGTATGTAAACCCCAACTTTTAATGTCTCTTATTTGCTCTCTTTTGGTCTGTTAAATAAACAATTGAAAGCATTTTGTTATTTCTGTTGAGAAGTGCAAAAATTACCTGCTGGTCCGGTCAGTGAGCTTGAACATTTCTGTGTTCTCTGCAGTGTTATCATAGTTCTCCTCTGTGAGCTACAGAGCATTCAACCCCTTACCCACCCCCCCATGTTATGCAGATGAGGAAAGGGGGGGAGTATTCCATAGCCCATAACAAACTTCCAGTACCCGGGTGTAAGTGGGTGGCGCATCTAAGGCCTAGTAAGTAGGGATGCACTGATACTTTTCGAGTACCAATGCCGATACTTGGCATTTTCATGAGAACTACAAGTGATACAGCGGTTGCAGCTGGGACCTGGCTCTGGTGCTCCACCACAGTCCTGAAATCATTAGTCGATATTGTTTTAGAAAAACTGTCACATGACAATAAACATAAATGTATCAGTACTCGTACTTGTAAGTACTTGGCCAAGTATCAGTACTTGTACTTGCAAAACTGGTATCGGTGCATTCCTTTATTTATATTTATAACAACAAAATCATACATTAAAACAGAGATAAACAAATCCCAAGAGCTCCGTGTGCTCCTTACAAATGACAGCTGGAAAAGTATCTGTACTTGTACTTGTACCGAGTACTGTACTTGGTATCGGTGCATCCCTACTAGTAAGCTACACTATATTACATTTTTGTTCTTGAGCTTAAATACACTTACAAATAGCATTGTCTGTAACCGTAAGTAGAATGTAGTTAGACTTCTGAGAGCATTCTGAAGCTGTAGACATTAGACTACCCTACAATATGTACATATCATATGCAGAGGCCATTGGCATTTTCTGGCAGAAGAGTAATAAATACAAGTACCATTTACTGTAAGTACAGTAACTACCTTTCTTGATATCCCAGGAAAGAAAAAAAACGTTGGCACAGCATCTACCCTCAGTCGAATCGTCTGACCAGTTCGGTCAAAACAGAACTCTTCAAAGTGATCTGAACACAGCACTGCTGTAGAGGAAGGTTTAAATGTATCACGCCTCATATTCATAACCCATTTTTTCAGAATCTCCGGTCGTCCATGTGGAAATCTGCAAAGATACTCATCTTTAACATCAGTGTTTTCATTCTCATGTTAACAACAGCAAAACTATCGAATGAGAATTCATATTTGAGACTCATCATAGTACATATACAGTAAGCATGTAAGAGGCAGCTTCAGAGGGGGTCATTTGTAACTGTCAGCCTAGACAGACCACAACCTAGAGCTGCTGTATCTTTGTTGCAGTAACTGTTAAAGACACACCATAGGCAGAATGGTTAAAAAAAGACAAACATGGAAAGCAGCTCCTATATACTTTTGTAGCTATAACCAATGCTTCCTCGCATATGAAATATGCATGCTATAATAAGTGTTAATTGCAGTAAGCCCAGATAGGCTCCCCCTGCACAGACCACAACATAGCGTTCCCAGATGGTATTTTAGCTTGTCAAGCTCCCTCTTTGACATGCTGCACGATCCTTCTAAAATACACCAAACTTTCAGGGTATGGTCTAAATGTCTCCTTCTTTTTCTCCTTTTTAATGCTAAAAAAGCAATCTTTTTATCCTGGAGTGGTTGAGCCTCCTTCCCTCGGCTGCTGGAAAGGTTTGGCAAATCAATCTTTGTCTACCGTGTTTCCCTCGAAAATAAGACCTAGTACTCTTTTTGGGAATTGCTAAAATATAAGACCTACCCCAAAAATAAGACCTAGTTGTGACCATTGCCAAGGCCGGTGGTGGTATAAGGGGGAACTTCAAGAGCCACGGGAGACGATCAGTGGTGCCAACAAAGTCAGCCCTAGAGGAAGCGAGGCATCAGCAGAGCAGAGCCACATAAGCAGATGTTTCCTCTATAGTGCCGACTCCTGGCACAGGCGGAGTGATACCAAATGCACTCTGCCTGAGAGGAATCGATAGTGAAAGCACGCATCGCCCATTCTGGTTACCAAATTGGCCTTGGAAAGGTACGGCACACCTGATTGCCCTGATCACCCTATTTTTAATTTTGCCATTTTGGATTATTTGATTTGGATTTGCATTAACTTTGTATTGTTGTACATTAAAAAAAAAAGACCTACCCTGAAAATAAGACCTAGTGTGTTTTTTTGAGCCCAAAAAAATATAATATAAAAGTGTTTTCAGGGAAACACAGTATGTAAAAGTTGACTTATTAACAGAGGGGTAACCCACAGCTTTTATATGGGGCCCATGGCTAGCATCTACCAATACCACAGTTGATATACCCTGATATCTGGTTGGTGACCTGTTTCCCGTTGATGCTGATTGTTTCTTTCTCTGATACTATTTGCTTTATTTGATACAGTGCCTTGTTATACATGGTGTCTAAAACAATAATGTATATTGGTTTTCTTTTTGGTGTTGTTTTGTATTATATTTGTGAAAAATTCAATAAAAAAACATCTTTAAAAAAACCCTTCAAGGCTAGTTCACACCAGCCCCAGTGCGTTCCTGGCCGGATTGGTGCCGGAACGCACTGGATCGCATTCCGGCATGCTCACTTTGTTTTGGGGCGGGAGGGGGAGTGGTGATGCATTGAAGTCAATGACACTACAGCCACGCCCTCCGGTCACAGTGGGATCGCCCGCACCGGAGCACGTGGTACTTCAGTGCCATGCTGCATGCACAATTCTTTCTGATTGCACCGGACCGGAATGCAGGCACTGATGTGCCGCGCGTTCCGGTGCGGGCAATCCCACTGCGGCCGGAGGGCGTGGTTGCGGTGCCATTGACCCCTTGGGCTGGTGTGAACTAGCCCTCAGGGTATGGCATGTGCAGGCAACTCTCCAAAACCTTGCACCTATGACACTTATCACAAGGCAAAAACACTGTCACAGTGGGGTTAGTAATAATTAAACAAATAATGAATCACTGTAGTATCCTCACTGTGTCTACAACGTCGCAAATTTCACAGTAGTACAAATGAGGGCAGATACTGGAGCTTTCCTTTATCCCAGGTATGAAGCCACCGTATAGGATTACTTGTAACTAAACCTAGATAAATCCAAAATGTTTCTTTCCTTTTGTATAAATAGGCACAGGGTCACTATATGCAAGCAAAATCACTAGAGGCATTGCAATCAATTCAGGTGGATATCAGATCCTTACTGCCCTACGACAAAGAGGTATTGGGAGAGTAAAATATAGTCTTCTCAATACTTAGAGCCTAGTGTGGGACACTACAGTGTAACCCGCCGACTCTATACACCGAGAGTGATCATGTAAATGCTGATCGCTCAGCTCACGGCCTTCTTACTGCTGAAAGTAGTGACTGTGAGTCACCGCTTCCTGCAGGGGTTCCACCCTCCCCTCTTTGTTTCTCCAGCGCTCATTGAAGGGACAGACAGGGGAGGGGGCGGGCACAGTTTGCTGTGTCTATAGAGAGGCAGCCGTCAATCAGGCAGCGGGGTGAATCCCAACAATACTCTCAGGATCCTTCCATGCTGCAGTGCAGCTCTGCGCTGTCAGCATAAAGCAGGCAGTAGCCCACTATTTGTGGAGTTTGGGTCACGGGAGGACATTAGTAAATGTAATCCTGTGAGCCAAAAGAGAAGTAAAGCCAAAAAAAAGGTTTGGTTTTAGTTCTCTTTTAAGAATGGTTAGCAAATACTTACATTGGATAGCACAAAAGCTTAGCTGCAGGAACATTTAATGTTCCACAAGCTTATTTGGATTTGCACCTGTTGTATCTGTTTTTGCCATTCTCCAAAAGGGGAAAAATAAGACAATATATATTGATACATTAAAGTGTACCTATTCGAAAAAGGACAACATTTTGGCATTAGAATAGAAAAGCGTACGGTCTGTGTCTTGTTGGGGAGATTTCTCTTAACTTCCTGCCCTCCCCAAAGTTAGAGAAATACCCTCTTAGACAGTTGTCACTGGAACACTTGTACACTTTGAAAAATTGTCTTTTTACCTCTCGTTCTGCTTTTGGATTACCCATAACTTTCTGTCCTGGTGACAAAGGTCACCTTGACAAATAGAGAGGGTGAATGTCCTCAACAGGGACAGAGACAGTAACCAAGACTTGTCAGGGGTTCTAACCCTTCCCGCTCCACCCAAACCAAAGTTGTGACTACAAATGTACTTTAAGTGCCTTCCAACAAAGTGTGACATCAGGCTATAAATTCCTTGAGGAGAGTTGATGTGATTGGTTTAATGACCATTCGCTAAAGCTGTCTCGTGGATTGGGGTACAGGGGGTTGGCATGTCCATTACTGACAATACTGGGTATTCCGTATAATTGCCAGGGTGACTGTGGAGGAATAGAGCTAGTTAATTTTAGGCACCAGGGAGTATCTAGCACAGGGTAGCAGTTAGGATGGGGCTTGTTTCATTTCTTTTTTTACTTGAACTTGACAGAACAAGTTAGCACAATCTAAGTAAATTCAAACAAATAAATGCAAGAATTTTGAATTTCTCTCATTCTTACCGGTGAAAGGACTTTCCACATCCACGCGTTTGTCGGCTTGTGCAGTTAATGGCAGCACATGCGGGCATTGTTAGATGCCATACAAAAAAAACCTGAAATGGTATTTAAGAAAAAAATGTTACCAGATACATACAGCACAGATCTGCATCCAGAAATAAAAATATTGCACAGAAAAACTGGTACATCTACGACTCCATAAAATGGAAGCTATTAGTAAAAGAAGAGACTCATTTGAAGGCTTAAAATGTTATCACCTTTAACTAGAAATATACAGATGTCAAAACAACTGTAGTGTCACAACCCTGACACAAGAATTTACATGGACACACATCATTCTCAGACGAAAGAAATCTACAATTACATTTACTCTTAATATACCCAAGCCATCTGTCGGTTTAGGAACAGGACAATAACTTAGATCAGTCCAGAGCACCTGGTCATACCTCCGATGTGGAAACAAGGCTAAGCGACTAAACTATGCAAGAAACATAGGAACTGGGGTGCAGAAAAATGGCAGCAGGCGCTCCAGACTGAGTCAAAATGTGACATATATTTGGCTCTAGCAGGAGGCAGTTTGTTCACAGAAGGGCTGGAAAGCGGTACACTAATGAGTGTCTGCAGCAACAGTGAAGCATGGTGGAGGTTCCTTGCAAGTCTGGGGCTTCATTTCTGCCAATGGAGATGGAGATTTGGTCAGGACCAAATCTCCAACTCCATTGGCAGAGAAATACAAGCAGACACTTATCCATGATTGCCCCCAAATTTATTCTGCAGCAGGACAATGACCCCAAACATGTAGCCAATGTCATTAAGAACTATCTTCACCGTAAAGAAGAACAAGGAGTCCTAGAAGTGATGGTTTAGCCCCCACAGAGCCCTGATCTCAACATCATCGAGCCTGTCTGCGATTACATGAAGAGACAGAAGGATTTGAGGCAGCCTACATCCACAGAAGATCTGTGGTTAGTTCTCCAAGATGTTTGGAACAACCTACCTGCCGAGTTCCTTCAAAAACTGTGTGCAAGTCTACCTAGAAGAACTGATGTAGGTTTGATGGCAAAGGGTGGTCACACCAAATATTGGTTTGTTTTGGATTTCTCTTCTGTTCATTTACGTTACATTTTGTTAATTGATAAAAAATAAACTTTTACCACTTATTTTTTAATTATTTTACAGCATTTTTTCACACCTGCCCAAAACTTTTCCACAGTAAAGTATATACATTCATATATGCATTACCAAAGCATGGTGTAGCACAGCAGTGGTTATCTCCTTTCAGGCAGGCTGTCGTATTGAAACCACAACTTTACAGCCAAATTATGGCCTCCCCCCTGCTACTCTATGTACTTCCCAGTCTGGATACCGCTAAGCCAATATTTTTGTTTTTGCTTTTTATACTTACCTTTTTAGAGGTGATACCCCAAGGACCTCTTTCTGTTCTCCAAGGCTTGGCATCCTCAACGATCCAGAGAATGACACAGACATCATCACATCAGTGCCATTCTCTGCATCATTATATTTGAGAGTGCAGGGTGCCTTAGTGACACCCCTAAGGAGGCAGGCCCATGATGTCCTTCACTTACACAAAATGGTTGAATGATGCTGGGCGTCAACCATCCTGGAAGAATAAGGACTTTGAATGGCAGAATAGAATTACTGAAGGGGACAGTGCCAGAGAGGAAGTAAGTATTTCAGAGTTTTTTTTTTTTTTAACTGAGCAGTTAACACTTTACACTCATACACAGAGGCCACCACTGCGCATTTCAATGGAAGTGGAAGGGGGTGTTTAAAGCATTCGCTATTGCAATTCTGGCTTTAAATAAATGATCTGTCACTCGCTGCCATGCCCAGACAGGAATGTAACAGAGTTTTACTCAAAGGCATAGTTAATTTATAGTTGGAGCATTCAGAGATTCAGCATAATGATTTTTAAATATCGGTTTAAAGAGAAAAAAAAGAGAAAATGGTGCAATAAGTATTATTGCACCATTTTTGCTTAATAAGTATGGATTAGTAGAAACTGTGTCAGGTATTTGTCCCGTTGCCCGGAGTCAGTGGGACAGGAAATTATGGGAAATCCAAAATTTCATAGCTGTCACTGAAGCAGGAGGTAAAGCCAATGGGGACACCTGTTTGAATGACTGCTGTCTAAGAGTGGATTTGCTCTCATTTTGTAGAGATGTTGTCTCAATTTCTGTTGTGTCTTCAGGACACAAAGTGAGGGAAAATCTCCCCACCAAGAGACAGCAAAAAATAAATTGATTCAGGTTTTTTAAGTCTACCCTTTTCTGGCTATACATAAACTTTATCTTAGTGTTAGGAGTTAAGGTTTAATATTCAGATTAAAACTCGGCTAGGGTAGGGCTTCAAAGTTAGATTGAGGGAGTTAAGTGTTAGGCTGCATGCATGACTAAAGTTTAACAGGGTTATTCACAAAAGGGTGAAGAGTTTGGAGAAGACAGGAGAAGTGAACAATCTAGGCCAAAATAGCTGATTTGGAAAAATTTTCCAATTCAGCTCACTTTCCAGTTCAGCTACCGTATGTTGTCCTAGATTGTTCACTTCTCCTGCCTTTTGCGAATAGCCCTTCAAGTTTTAAGTACACCCTTCAGTGTGGGGGCTGCTATTGCTGGTCTCCTTTTGAAAATGCTTGTTGTTTGTCTCTGTCTCCCTTTATTACATGTCATTCACATACCTGGAACAAACTGTAAATCTGAATCAGAAAAGAGCCAACATTTCTTATCTCTCTAATTGTTTTGGGTCAGTGACTCTGAAAGTACTGAAGTCAAAGCATCAGTAGAACAGCAAGGGGACTAACTTCAGGTCAGCAAAGGCAGCATCCATAGTTTTTCATGACAGATGTACTTTATGGGTTCAAGTCCATTTCCATCTTTGTAAGTGATCAGCATTTATTGTGGTAATGTAGAGGTGCAGTGATTATGTATACGGTATGTGTGCACATTTTCATGACTCACATGGCAGGCATTACCTCATTTTCTAATGAACATTTTATTAGGCCTGAAGCCTAAAAATGTTCTCCACAGGAAAATCAGTCAGACACCAGGGTTGGATTGTAATCAGGCTGAAATCAGTTCTCCCCCTCCCTATTATTCATTGGAACACGATCAGTAAACACCAGCACTGCCTTTGCACACAATACACTGTCCAGGGGAAGAAGGGGGTGCCACTATAAATACTAATGAATGGGAGAGCTTAGAAAGAGCTTTCAAAACACAGGCAGCCATTTTCATGAGAATATGAAGAGGAAAGCTAACAAAAAAAGTAAGTTTGTGTGTTCATATACATCAGCTGCATACTCCTGCTTATGTACACTCGTTTGTTTTTTTAAAAACATCAGCAAAGGTGGAAATAGACTTTAAGGTTAGGTAAATGGTTCAGTGTTAGGGACAAAATGAAAATTAAAGCAAAGCTGTGGCTACAGACACGTGACATGTACGTCATGTCAGAAGATGATTCAATGCCTAAATTCAGTGTTCCTTTTTTTGTGTACACTGCTTGGTTTACTTTACAAACAGGGCATCAGGATGATCGACTCACTTCTTTAGTGGCTGCTTCACAATCTGTAGTGAATGGCTAAAGAGAAAAGGAAGGGACAACACAGTGAGCAGCAAGAGCCCTGGTCACTTATATCTCTAATATAGTCCCAAGTTTGTAAAGTAAACTGGGTACTGTACAAATCAAGCAATATTGCATGTAGGGAATGGGAGCTGTCTGCGCTATCATACACATAGCGCATGCTGTGACTCAGGAGGACACATTTTTGGTTTGAGTTGAATGTTAAGGGGTTAGGTTAAGAGTTAGCATACAGATCTCCTTCAGATTTTCCGTTAGTTTTCAGTGCTAGAAAAGAAATGCAGATCGTCAGAATGACTGCCCGCTGCGGCACTGCAAGAGAATGACAGCCTGCTCTGGTGTCGCAGGAGAACGACTGACTGACCACTACAACATTATAGGAGATATGCTTTTGTGTTACAGTACACTGAGCAACTGATGCTGTGTTACAGGAGACTGAATAACTGCTAAGATATTCCAGAAGACTAAGGGAATGCTGCTGTGTTACCGGAGGCAGAACAACCTGTGCTATGCTACAGAAGACTCAGTAGTGTCCAACTCAAATAGAGCCTAGCATATATAGCCTGTGAATTACAAGGGGTGTCTTCTGTAGACAATGATCATGCTAAAGCAGAGCAGGACTTTTTCCAGATGCCGCTCCAGAAGCACCTAGTGCTGAAGGTCTACAGATGGCTCTCACAAACTCTAGGGCCCCACTCCCATCTTGGTGTAACCGGCGTCTCTCCATGCTTCCCTTCACAAAAAACAGAACCTTACTAGGCCTCAAATGTATTACACTATTACTTGTGCCTCCCCAGCTTGGCCTATATGAGTATGGGCTCTACTGGTGCCTCTCACATGCACTCAGCAGATCACCTATCTCTCTTTCTGGGCTTCCTGGGCAAACATTTCCAATTCCCAATGCAGAGGCCTTCAAGCTAGCCATTTACACTCAGTTTCAAGTCGATATTTAACCCCAAATAATTCATCCCCACTATTAAACAAATTTCCCAAAAGGTACTATAGATTACAGATGCAGAGCTGCCAATTTTCCATTACTCTCCACTGCCCTGTTAGAAAGTAGGGAATGTGCCAGGCATAACCATATAGCATAATGGTATCTGCAGCTGAGAGCGTACGCCTGGTATGGTCAGTATTCTTTATGTCCTTGCCTCAAATGTATTATACTATACATGCAACTATTTCACAGGAATGCTGACCTCCACAGAAAGCAAACAGGACTTGGTCTGACCATGGGAGCTAGGTTGGTCTGGATCTTAGCCCTTTACTGCGGGTGAAAAATTTCATGAGGCAGATGGAGGGAGGTCTATTGAGCAATCCATGCCAAAAGTAAAAATCTACAGACAGCACCCACCTCCAAATATACACTATATTGCCAAAAGTATTGGGACGCCTGCCTTTACACGCACATGAACTTTAATGGCATCCCAGTCTTAGTCCGTAGGGTTCAATATTGAGTTGGCCCACCCTTTGCAGCTATAACAGCTTCATCTCTTCT